CTGAGAACTGCTGAACAAACTGTGGCTTGTGAGTGTGGCGGGTTGCCTTGTGTTGGAAAGCCAGAGTCTGGCAGACGGGGGAACCTGGGGGTGAAGTGAGAGTAAAGGAAAGATGGAGCTGCAGCAGCAGCCCTCTAGCTCAGTAAGCACCACCCTCAGTGTTCACACCACAGTGTGAGGCGGAGAGAGCTGAGCCTGGAGTCAGGAGGGCCTGGCTTCAAATCCCCCCTAGCTGTGGGACCCTGACAACATGACTTCCCCACTGCCTACATCAGTTCTCTCACTTGTAAAATGAGAGCGCTGAACTCAGTGGGCTCTTAAGTCAAGTCAAGCCAACACATTTATTAAGCACCCACTGTGCTAAACACTGATGATATCAAGAAGGGCAAGATAGGCCCTGCTCCCAGTCGAAATGGGGGAGATGCCTTGCAAACAATGATGCACAAACAGAACCCATCCAGGATAAATGGAAGCTAATCTCAGAGGCATTCGTATGAAGGTAGGCCAGCAAAAGCCTCTTACAGAAGGGCTTTTAGTGGGCTCTTAGCTAGGAGTCGAGGCATGCCAGGAGGCAGAAACGAGGAGGGGGCGTCTTCTAGGTATGGAGCACAACTAGAGAAAATGCCCAGAGCTGGGAGATGGAGCATGGGATGAAAGAATAGTAAGGAGATAGCAATGTCACAGATCGCAGAGTATGGGGGAAGAGTAAGATGTCAGAAGACTGGAAAGGTGGGAAGGGGCCAGGAGACAAAGGGCTTGAAGAGCCAAGCAAAGAAGTGCCTATTCGACCCTGGATTTAACAGGGAGCCACTGGAGTTACTGCACAGGGAGGTAACATCATCAGAACTTTGCTTTCAAGAAGATCAGTTTGACAACTGAGTGGCGGATGACTGCAGTGAGGAGAGACGAGGCAGGGAGACCCACCAGAAGGTTTCTGCAAAAGCCAGGCACGAGGTGACAAGGGACAGTACCAGGGGAAGACAGTGTCAGAGGAGAGAAGTGGACTTAGGGGAGAGAGGCTGAAAAAGAAGAAACAATAGGATTTAGCAACTGATCAGATAGAGGGAGGTGTGTGAGAGAGTGAGGAGTCACAGATGGAAAGTACCTTGATTGCAAAACTAGGCAGCAAGGTGGTCATAGAGAAGTAGGAAAGAGGTGAAGGCTGGGGTGGTGGTGGTGGTGGGGAAGATATAATGTGTTCTCTTTGGGACATCCTGCTCTAAGGTCCCTTCTAACTCTCCACATCTGTTCTATCCATGCTCTTCACATGCCTTTGTTAGTTGTGCTTTGTAGAAGGATTTGTTTGTTTGGGTGTTTGCCGAGAAGTATCTTTTGCATCAAAACAAAACAGAGTAATGAATTCAAAATAAAATGGGGAGGGGGTTAGGCATGGGGAGTGTGATTATAAGATCTCAGGCCTTTTCCTAACACAGGTTTTAACAACCTCAACCATCCTTTATCTCCTCACCAAAAAAGATAAGCAAATCCTTTAGAGATCTAAATCTTTCTTAGTATTTTAAGTTAAGAAACTGTTGATCAGCCAGATAACACACCACATGCTAGGTATTTTAAGTAGTAAATGGTATGGGTGTGTATGTGTGTGTTTAGGGGAGAGGGTGTCAACCAATATAACTGACAATTAAGATGATTATATTCAAGAGGCAGTATGGAATAGTGGAAAGACAGCTGACCTACTCCTGATGCAAGCTTGCTATGTGATCATGGACTGCTACCCCCTGAGCTTTGGTTTCATCATCTGTAAAGTGGGGATAACAACATCTGCTATCTCACAGGGTTGTTGTGAGGTTCAAATAAGATAATCTATAAGGCGCTTTGCAAGTTTTAAAAGTTGGACAAGTTTTAAAAAACTACTTGGGTCCGTTATAATTTGAAGTAGAACAACAAATGATTTTCCAGTTGATATCCAAAAAAGAAACCCACAGTTGGTGTCCCGCCCAACACGCTCAGTGAAGTGCTGTCCAAGGCGCCCCTCCCCCTTTCAATCTATCATTCTGCACCATTGTTCCCTTTCTCAGGCAAACTCTGTAGGTATGAATCCCAGATGACCTGTTTGGCCTGGGACCCCTAAAGGAACCTCTCTAGGGTTCCATTTATTCCATTGGTCAAATGAAGGGGTTGGGCTATATGGCCAGGAAAGCAGCACTCATGGAAGCAGACCCTCCAAGGGGAGTTCCTTTCTTGTTCAGGAAAGAGATCAGCATGATCAGAACCCCCCCCACAAAGCCAAAGGTAATGGAACTTTCAGCTTCAGACAGCAAAGGCACCCTTTGCTGTTTAATTCTAACTTTACTAAATGTTAGCATGTGGTTGTAGCTTTATGAAAGATTTCAGTCTTTGTGTACTGATGGGATTACCTGTTTCTGTTGACAGTTATCAAGTTTATAATAAAAACATGGATTATAAAGCCCTAGGATTGAAAAGCTGGTCTCCCAAGGTTAATCCCCCGGCCCTTTACTTAAGGGCTATTATCATATATAACCTATATCCTATTATCGCCTGGGAGGCATCTTCCTTTGGCAGGTCATCTTCCAGAGGGTGAGGAGCGGGCAGATCCTCTGATGCACAATCTACTAGTAGGCCAGTATGCTTTGCTCTCATCCACCATGCTGCCCTTACATTCTCCTCCCTCCAAACCTAAGGGCCAATTTTTACTCATTTTTGCTCTGGAGCTTTTTTCAAACACCACTGCTGAATAATGCCACTTCTTTATCAGCTCCTAAGCTGATAAAGGACAGGGAGGAGATACCATTTATACCCAAGTGATTGTTAATCCACTTGTTAGCCCCTCTATTTGACACCCAAGGCAGCTTGGTGAGAGCAAGCTGGACTTGTAGTCAGGAGGGACCTGGGTTCAAATCATGCCTCTGATGAACTCTCAGTTTCCTCATCAGGAAAGGAGGGATAACAGTACTAATGAGGCACAAACGAGGTCATGTTGGTAAACGCTTCTGCAAACTTTAAAGGGCTGGGTGTCCTTTGTTATTATCTCGTGACCCTGGGTAGATCATCTCGCCTCTGATGGGGCTAGAATGTCATCTCCATGTCCAGGCCTAAATACATGATCTCTTAGGATTTCTGTAACAAAAATTGTTCTAAAATGTGCCTCAGTATCTAGAATGTAAGCTTCTTGAGAACAGAACTTTCATTCTTGTCTTTGTACCCCAAGTACTTGGCACAACGTAGAGAACACAGTGGGCAGTTAGTAAATGCTAGCTGAGTGATAAATTGGGTCACTGGTGATAATGGCTAGCCCCTTTGATAAATCAGAGTGTGGACTCTTCTCAGTTTACTGTACATTATGGCTCTTTGGCCTTCCACCTCTTTTGATAAAGAATCCAACTTCTGATTATTCCTCTACTGGACCTCAATTCAAACACGAAGGAGATAAAGAATTGCTAAACAAGTTAAAACAGGTTTTCGTATTTGAAAATGATTTACAAGGCAAATGTACTTCAATGCCACAACTATCTGTGATTTTCTTGGCTGGAGGCTTTCCCCTACCAACACCCACTGCAAACCTTTTACATTTTAGTAGATGGTCTATAAGAATTTCATTTGGCCCCAAAATTCGCCACCCTGGTGCTTTTCCAAACTTAGTGAATCATGGCCACAGAAAACAGAGAGACCCTCAGGACATCAAAGCGCCCCCTACTCAAAGCCTTTCCAACTGAGGAGGACTTACCAGAAGGGTGCAAAGTGCTGGAGAATCTATAGTGCCTATCATACCACGATGAAGAGAAAATAGGAATCCTTCTACTGTGCCTCCTCATTCCGAAGGAAACACACCGCTAATATCAACACACACAACACAAGCCACAACTAAGAGGCCCACGCAGCAGCAACAAAGTCCAAAACAGCTCTTCAGCCATTGAGAGAGGCTCCAGAAGGACAAGAGCATAAAACCAGTGAAATGGAGGGCTCCTACCTTCACGGCCCTTGAGAACGCCTCATGAAGAAGCCTGATATTGCCTACCTGAGACAGCTCTAGAAGCCTAGGAGCTACACCCAGACAAGCCCTTCCTTACCACACAGACCATTTTACGGAGGACGTGGAGGGCTGAAAAGTCAGTCACCCAGCTGCACGAGTGAAAACAAGAGGCGATCAAGTCAGAGAGTCTCAAAGCTGGAAGGGACCTGGAAGACCGACCGGGGCGCAGACGGGGATCTGTGAACTTGGATGGGAAAACACTGTGCCATTTCATCACAACTGGTCTCCCATGTAACCCTACGGTTTCGATGTATGCATTTAAACACATTATTCTGAGAAGGCCTCGCCGTTCTACCAAAGGGGTCCAGGGCACAAGAAAAGGCTAAGAGCTTTCGAGTTAGTCCCATGTCCTCATCGTACAGATCAGGAAGGTGAGGCTCGGAGAAGTGACTTGCCCAAGGCCACGAGGTAAACTGAGGATGTGACCAGGATTTAAGTTAAAGCTGTGCTCCGGCATGCCCGAGGGTTGGGGGCAGCTCCCCTTTTCGAGGAGACATCCCCAAACCTCGAGCTCTGAGGATGACCGGTTTCTCCCCGCCCCCCCCAGAGGACCCCCAAATCCCCCCGGGTCCTCGGCACCCTCTGGTCCCCCCCACAAGGCGGGGTGGGGCCCCAGCCCGGGGAGGGGGCTGAAGCGGCCCCCTGTCCTCAGCACCAGGCGACTCTAAGCGTCTGGAGGGCAAGGGCCTGCTCATGTCTAGTCTACCCTAGTGACTCAGTGTACACAGAAGGTGCTTCATAAATGTGGGCTGGAATCAACCAAGAGAGAGGAAGTCAGCGGGAGAGTTGAAGACAGGTATGGGGGGGGCAGGGTGGAGGCCAGAACGAGAACCTGGGGGGCCGGCGAGCGGGTGGGGAGACTTGGGGGGCAAGAGGGGGACAGACGAGAGAGGGTCGGGGAGACACGCGGGGGGTGGGAGACACGTGGGGGCCGCGCCCACGTGGGTGGGTGGGGGGCTGGAGCCCCTCCCCACGCCCCTCCCCCGCTCACCTGGCAGCCCTTCTTGTGGTGGAAGCCCACCACCACGATGTGCAGCACGGGCCCCCGCGGGCCGCCGCGCCCCCCGGCCTTCTCCATGGGCCGCCCGCCCTGGGGCTCGCGGACCACAGGGGGACGCCGAGGCAGCCCCCGCCAGGCCCACCCGCCGCAGCCGCTTCACCGCTTCCGCCTCCGCGTCACCTGATCCCGCCCTGCCCCGCCCCGCCCGGCCCCGCCCCGACGCCGAGAGGACGAGGGGGCGGAGCCTGGGAAGGGGCGGGGCCTGCACTGCCGAGGGAGAAGGGGGCGGGGCCTGCGTTGCCCAGGAGACCCGGCCTCCAGGGAGCCGCACAGGGAGGGGGCGGGGCCTTCTCCTGCTGTTCCCTCCTCCTCCTCCATCCTCCTACCCCTTCCCTAGAGCCACAAGCTCTGAGTTCAGATTCCACTTCTGTCCCTTACTATCTGGGTGATACGGCTGGTGAATGTTGGCAACTTAACGGAACTAAGAACCTCAAGCCTATGGAATGCTTCAAAGTTTGCAAGTTGTTCAGTCGTCTTCAGTCGGGTCCTCATTGGGAGTTTTCTTGGTGAAGATGCTGGAGTAGTTTGCCATTTCCTTCTCATTTTACAGATGAGGAAACTGAGGCAAACTGGATGAAGTGACTTCCCTAGGACTTCTGAGTGAAGGAGAGGCTCTATGGGCTGAAGAAACTGCATCTGGAGTTAAGTCTCAGGGGACAGAACAGAGGAAAGGGGAAGTTTTGGAAGTAAGAATGAGTCTGGTTGCTCTGAGGGTTACTCAAGAGCAGAGTGTATTCTAATGCATTGGAAGAGTTGGTTTATATTGACAGGGAGACAGAGAAAGTTCTGAATCATAGTTTCAGAGATAATGAGCCACAGACTTAGAGCTGGCAGGGAACTTGGAGGTCAACAGACCCTTTTTGTCATTTTTCAGATGGGGAAACTGAGCCTCAGAGAAGTTAAGTGACTGACCACGGATTAAACAGCTGCCAAGTGTCTGAGGTGGGCTTTCAAAGCAGATCTTCCTGACTCCTGGTCCAGTGCTAACCACTGACCCACACAGCTACTTCTTCTTGGCCTCAGCTTCCTTATGGTTGAAGTGAGAGTTTTAGACTCTGCAAGGGCTAATGTCCTTTTCAGATGTAACTCTATGGTCCCACAATCGTTTTTCCTGTTCTCCATCCGTTCCAATCCCCCTGACAACACCTGACAGACACACAGTCCAGTACCAGGACAAACTGAAAGCTTTGCTCTATCTTGGGTCCTATATGTACAGAAATATTTATAGCAGCTCTTTTCATAGTAGTAAAAATCTCTGAGAATTAAAGTGTTGCCAGCCTACTGGGGAATGGCTAAATAGCTCCTGATGTGTGAATGGGACACAATATTGTGATGCCCTAAGAATGACGAGATGGACAGTTTCAGAAGACATGAGAAGACCTCAGTGACATGATGCAGAGGAGGACAGTGACAACAGCCTTACCAAGAAAGACATCTCATCTGTACGCCCAGCCCTCCCTGCTGCCACCTTCCCTATTACTGTCCAGGGAACCACCCTCCTCTTCCTGACCGTTCAGGCCCCCAACTTCAGTGTCCCAGGGGCTCACCAGCCGGTGTCCTCCTGGAGCCCTCCCTCTCTCTCATCCCTCTCTATTCCATCTCCCACCAAGGCCTGTCCATTTTACTTTGTAACATCTTTCACACATGACCCCTTTCCCTACTCAGTCACCCACCCCAAATCCCAAGGCCCAAATAATGATCAGCTCATTTATTGACTATTGCAATAGCCTGCTGGGGGAGGGGTCTGCTTCCTCAGCTCTTTCCCCACTCCAGTCTATCCTTTACTCACCTTCAAAGGGATCTTCCTAAAGTAAAAGTCTCACTGACTATGTCACCCCCATGCTCAGTAACCTTCAGGGGCTCACTGTCACCTCCAGGATCAGATATGAAATCTTTTGCTTGGCTTTCAAAGCCTTGCCTCCCCTCCATACACACACCTCTTTCCAGTTTTCTCACACCTTACACTCTCCTCTTCCCATGTAGAGTACATGGAGTACTCTACCTCCAGTGACACTGGCTTTGCTGTTCCTCAAACAAGATACCCCACTCCTCAGTTCTAGGCTTTCTCTCTGGATGTGCCCCATGCCTCCTGGCATTCTCTCCCTCCTCCTCTCTGCCTCCTGCCTTCCCTACCTTCCTCCAAGTCTCAGCCAAAATCCTACCATCTCCAGGAAGCCTTTTCTGATTTCCCTTAATAACTCAGGAGGAATATCCTTTCCTCTGTTGATCATTGCCAAGGTATCCTGTATATATTTGCACAGAATTGTTTGCATGTTTTCTCTCTCCAGTAGACTGTGAGCTTCTCATGGGCAAAGACTTTTTTTTGCCTTTCTTTGTACCCTTAGCACTTAGCACTTGGTGCATAGTAGGGGCTCAAAAAATGTTTATTGACTTGCTGACTGACAAATCTGAAAGACTTCCAGCTCTGCTGGGTGGACTGTGAAACCATGAAGCCAGAACACCTGAGGATGAAGTAGCATCCCCTCCTCCCCAGCAGGAGGAAATAGACTGGATGCAGAATGAGACGTATTTTTGGAAGGGGCCTTTGTGGGCCTTTGTTTTGCTGGGCTATCATATTTATTGTGAGGATATTTCTTTTTTCTTCTTTTTTTTTTGTTGTTGTTCAATAAGGGGAAAGGAGAAATGGAGGTGGACTGTCAAAAAATATGGCAAAAATAAATAAATAAATGAATGAATAAATGCAAAAAACCAAAACTAGGGTCCTCTCCCAGCCACAACGAGGAACTAGAGTAAGAGGTTTATTAATGATTATGCAACACTATTTAGGGGTCAATGCACCTGAAAAGAAGAATTACAATTGATTTTTGGGGAAGGAGACTTTAATAACTCCCTGGTACTAATCACAATTTAATTTAAATTAATAAATCACCAAGCATTTATTAAGTGCTGAGAGCCTTCCGTGTGAGATTCTCTCCACTCTATCCTGTCCATACCTTGTTCATACATTGTTGTTTTCTTATTTTCTCTGCATTAGACTAGGAACTCCTGGAGAGAAGGAGCTGTTCTTTAGCCTTTCCTTATATCATCAACAGTACCTGGCATATAGTAGGCCCTTAATGAATGCTTGTTGACTGACTGACCCACAGAGTGAGCACTTATGAAGGGCTTACTGTGTGCTAAGCTGTGGGCTGGATGAGGCAATTACAAAGACGGAAGATAAAAAAGCAAGACCCTAAATATGTTAAAACCTCTACTAAAGTAACTGTCAACACCAGCTACTTGGCCCTCTCTATGACTATTTCCTCTCATTTTTTTGCTAAAAGCCCCCAAAAGTCACATGTCCCTCCTCATGTTTCTCATAGCACTTTGCCTGGGACTTACACTGAATATACCTCCTCTTGCTTCACACTTATGTGTATACATACTTTCTATGCCTAGATTGGAAGCATTAGATTGAGAGCAAGGACTATGTTTTGTTTAAACTTTGTGCCATCAAGGCTTAGTGTAGTAAGGATTCTTCACCTATTTTTGTGTCATGACCCCTTAGCCATCCAGGGGAGCCCCTGGACCCCTTCTCAGAAAAACGCTTTTAAATAATTGAAGGAAATGCTGCATTTCAGTTTGAGGTTAAGGAAAATATTTTGTAATGGCTTTTGCATCTCATTTTATTGACCAACCCCATAAAATGTATACATGAGCCACAGGTTAAGATCCCCAAGTCCAGTGCATTGCATATGTGGGGCAAGATCTTTCAGGAGCAAGACCAGGTCATTTTTTCTTAACTCCCTTTGCCTGACCTCATAAATCTCAGGTGTGTACCTGGGTCTGTGTGGGGAGGAATGGAGGATATGTGGAATTTTAGACCTAAGTGGTGGATTGGGTAGATGGGACAGGAGGATGAGCTCCTGAAAGAAGGTTCTGAAAAGCCAGGCTTGTACTTGTGAGGAGAGAAGATGGCCGAATTATAGGACCAAGGAACAAAGTCTATGAGAGTCCTTGTTTCATTCTACATTGTGCTGGCTGGGGTAGGGGAGAAGGGCCTGGAATAGACAATAGAGCTCCATGATTCTCCACCCCACCCCCACATTCCCTGGCCACCCCTGACTTGGAGGAAGAGTGTTGCTAGGAGACGTTGGAGCAGGTTTTTAGAAACTCCACCAATGAGAACCCAGGAATGATCTGCAGACACTTTAGCCGCAGACTGTTCAAGTGACTCATTATACAGACCAGCAGAGAAGAGATGTATTGTTAACTCTTTGGGTTCTGAGAAAGATTTGGTTTTCACTGGCTTTTTAGGGAAAGCAAGCAAAAATCTATGGAACCTGCTATGTTCTCTGTCGTGTGCTAGGTCCTGGGACACAAATATGTATGTGCATCTACACACATATGTATATACATGCACCTATATGTATATATATGTTTACATCTATGTGTGTATGTGTATCTATCTTTCTTTCAATCAATCTATCTATATATGTAAAAAAACCTAGATGAAAAAGGAATAGGCACATTCTGAACTCCACCTGTGATTTCCCTGATACAGGATGCCCCCCAGGTGAGGAACCTTTCTCTATGGGGGCTGCATTTGGGCACCTTCTCTGCTATTTATCATCCCAGGGAGCTGCTCAGAGCACAGAGGTGAAGGGACTGTCCCAGGGCCATGGACACTAGGCACTGAGCCAAACTGGCTTTGAGATGGGCTCCCCATCCACCCTAGGCTATGGATAAAGGTAGAAAGAGGAAAAAATACAAGGCAGTCAAATACAAGAGAGATAGGAAAGCGTACCATTAGTAGGTGTGGGCTCAGGAAAGGAAAGCTTCATGCGGAAATGGTGCTTGGGTTGAATCTTGAAGGAAAAGAAGGGTTATGTGAGGCAGAGGTGAGGAGAGAGTACATTCTAGACATGGGAAACATCCAGGACAGATCCAGAGAGACAGGAGGGGAAAGGTTGTTTGTGAGGAACAGAAAGAAGGTGAGTTTGTATTGCAGAGCTCGAGATGGGGAGCGATGTCCAATGAGGTGGGGAAGATAGGTTGGGATGAGGTTGTATAGGGGTTAACTGCAGAAGTTTTTCTTGATCCTAGAGGCCATAGGGAGCCACTGGACATCAAGGTCATATCTGAGCTTAAGGAAAGTCCC